AGGCGCGGGGGGCTGGGGGAGCCTGCTCGGCTGGCTCCGAGGGCCTGCTCGCCCCGCCCGTCCCCTGGGCCTCCCAGCGCCTAGAAACTCAGTCTGCAGTGTCACCGGGGTCTTTGTTCTCGCGTCCTGGCCTCCGGGATTGGGTGGGGCCTACCTGTCTCTGTGCGCGCTTTTCGCTTTTCGGCTGGGAATCGCGGTGGTATGAGTCCGGCCCACACTCGGACCCAGGAGCGCTGTAGCTCCCGGAGAACTCGCTGCCTGGGCGCAAGGCGCGGGGGCCTGGGGGCTAATATCATTACTTCTGAAATGCTAATGAAATTGAAAGAGAAATAATCTCTCAAATTCATTCTTGGAAGCAAACATTACCCTAACACCAAAACCAGAGAAGGATCCAACTAAGAAAGAGAACTACAGGCTAATCTTAACTAATGAACATAGGTGCAAACATCTTCAATATGATACTGGCAAGCAGAATGCAGCAAATCATCAAGATTATACACTCTGACCAAGTGGGATTCATCCCAGGGCTGCAAGGATGGTTGAACATATGTAAGTCAATAAATGTAATACACTGTATTAACAGAGCCAAGGACCAAAATGTGTGATTATCTAAATAGATGCAGAGGAAACTTTTGACAAAGTCCAGCACCCATTCATGATAAAAACCCTACAGAAAATTGGAGTAAATGGTATATCTCAATCTGATAAAGGCAATGTATGACAAACCAATAGCCAACATCATACCAAACAGTCAAAAGCTGAACGCTTTTACTCTAAAATCAGGAACAAGGATGTTCACTGTCACCAGTTTTCTTCCATGTAGTTCTAGAAACTTTAGCCAGAGCATTTAGACAAGAGAAAGAAATAAAAGGAATAATAATAGGAAAGGAAGAAGTCAAATTATTACTTGCAGATGACATGATACTCTACATAGAAGACCCCAAAAACTCCACCAAAAGACTTCTAGATTTAATAAGCAAATTCAGTAGCATAGCTGGACACAAAGTCAGTGCTCAAAAACCAGTATCCTTCCTATACATGAACTATAAACTCACTGAGAGAGAAATTAGGGAAACAACACCTTTCACAATAGCATCCAAAGAAATGAAATACCTACGAATGACTTAATGAAAGCAGTAAAATACCTCTACATTGAAAACTACAGTACTCTAAAGAAGAGAATTGAAGAAGACATTAGAAAATTGAAAGATATCCCCTGTTCTTGGGTATGAGGAACCAATAAGTGAAAATGGCCATACTTCCAACATTGTTCTGCAGATTTAGTGGAGTTCCAATCAAAATTCCAACAGCATATCTCACAGAGTTAGAGAAAAGAATCCTAAAATTCATTTGGATGGAGAAGAGACCTAGAATAGCAAGGGCAGTTCTGGACAACAAGAGCAAGACAGAGGGCATCACAATCCCAGACTTGAAATTATAGTTTACAGCTACTGTGATTAAAAAAATAATAATAATAAATCATGGACAAAAATAGGCCCTGTGATCAGTGGGACAGATTAGAAGATGCAGAAATAACTCCAGACATACTCGGCCACCTTATCTTTGATGAAGGTTCCAAACACATTCACTAGAAGAAAGAAAGCCTCTTTTTTAAATCAGACTTTATTGGTACATTTTAGATATACATAATAAGAAAGATAGCCTCTTTATTAAATGGTGCTGGACAAACTGGCTTTGCACATGCCAAAGATTAAAACTGGACCCATGTCTTTCAGCATGCACTACACTAAAGTTGAAATGGATCAGAGATCTAAATATTAAAACAGAAACATTAAATCTGCTGAAAGATAGAATGGGTAGAACTCTTAAAGACACTGGTGCAGGCAAAGACTTTATGAACAAAGCCTCAATCTCAGAGGAACTATCACAAAGAATCAACAACTGGGATGTCATTGTCTTAAAAAGCTTTCACAAAAGGCCAGGCATGGTAGTGTATGCCTGTAATCCCAGCACTGAGGAGGATGAGGCAGGAGGATCGTTGCAAGTTCGAGACCAGCCTGGGCTACAAAGTAAGGTGAAGGCCAGCCTGAACTGCATAGTGAGACCTTGTCTCAAAAAGACCAAAAAAAAAAAAAAAAAAAAAAAAAAAACAGAATCAACTGCTATCAAAATGGCCCCCAAAAAGCTAAAGAAGAAGCTAAGGAAGGAAGGGAAGGGAAGGGAAGGGAAGGGAAGGGAAGGAAAGGGATCACAATTGAAAAGAACAGTGTTAAGGAAAAGACAGACATAGACAACCTTAGACCAGTGTTTAGTTGTGAAAATGTTGAGACCTTTTGATCCAGAAGCAGGTCCTAGTGGGCTATAGACTCTCCCCAGGAGAGAAAGGACCCCAGAGAGCCAGATTCCTGATGTTCTTATGGAAGGGGCCTCTCCTCCTGAACAACACCCACCTTCCACTCCATCCTCCCTTCCTGCAAGCCAAAGGTGTCAACTTGAATGGCGAGTGCAGTGCGCAATTGTTGTTTCTGGTAAACTAGGCACATTTTTATAACTCTTTGGTGACTACACTAGGAAAATTATTGGTGTTTCTGGTAAACTGTGCACATTATACAACCCTTTTGTTACTATAGAAAGGTTACTTAAGGGGTGCTTTGGGAGGTTCATAATGCATTATGGATATTTCGTTATTTCTTATGGGAAAAATAGTCTTGACTGACAGCCAATTTGAGTTACAACCAACCCTCGAGAGCAAAGTGAGTTTCTAAATCCAAAGTCCACTGTATTTTTTTGGTAAAGTGCTATGGGTATTTTCATTGTAGTTCATATAAGAGTTTGTGTTGTTCTTTCTTAGCCTTTGTACGCCAAAAATCAATGTTGAAATTTTTGATGCTTTTTTATAAACAATAAATATTAAAAATTCAATACTTTATTTTTGTGATTTTAAGTACTTTTGCTTAATATGATAAAACAAAATTAAAAGTAATAATTCCTCAATAGAAATATTCTAAATTTTGGGTGGGTCAGATAGACCCATATTTCTGCACCTTTGTGACAAAATGAGTGTTGTGCTCCGCAGGCTACTGCGATGTGGTGTCCATCCACCCTTGCATCGAAGTTCTCCAGAGAAACAGAAGTGGCTGGGGGACGAGGGTCTGCGCGGAGGGAGGGAAAGAGAGACAGGTTTGTTGTAAGGCATTGGCTCCTGCAGTCGTAGGAGTCCTACATCCAAAGTTCTAAGTATGTAGGCATGTGGGAGGGCCGGCAGTGTCGTGACTGTGTTGACAGCACTCTTGGGGCAGGATTGCTTCTCCTTCAGGGACCTCAGTCCTCCGTCCCCGTCAGATTGGCAGAGGCCTGCCCGCGTATGGAGGGCGATGCCAATGTGCACTGCTTCTTAGCACCGTTGCCTCAGCATCGCACTGGCATCGGCCTAGTGGAGGTGACAAAACGAGCCACCGCGCCCCACCATGCTCAGGTCTGCGGACGGCAGCTTCAGACCTGCCACTTGCTCCTCCACACCATGGCAGCTGTGCAGTGCCGTCTCAGCGTCTGCTTCCTGCGTCCGCTCCTGGTACCGGTTCCGGAAGTTCAGGGTTGAGCAGGTTTGCCACAAGGGCCGCATCTGATCGGGGTGGCACTGTGCAGCAGGGGCCCCTCAGAGTTGTCCCAGCTCAGGTAGAGAGGCCAGGCCGTGGTGCCCCTGCCCTCTTCAGCTGCTGGCTGAGGGCATTTCTGTGAGGGCCTCTGCCCAGGAGCTGGCGGAATGAGGACCTTGGTCCTGAAGTGCAGATCTGAGTGGCAAGCTGCAGCATCCGTACCATAGAACCCTATCTGCTTTTTTAAAATAGTACCTTTAATAGCCAGGCACAGTGGTGTGAGCCTGTCATCCCACCACTCAGGAGGCTGAGGCGGGAGGCTCCTCACCATGAGTTCAAGGCGAGTCTGGATTACATAGCAAGACCTTGTCTCAGAAAAACAAAAATAAATAAAGCACAAGCTTTGTTAGTGTATTATTCACCTAACGTAGAATTCACTGGTCTCTGGTATATTCAGAGAGTTGTGCAGCCACCACCCCGATCCAATCCTAGAACATCCCCATCCCCCTGTGAAGAGACCCTAAGCATAACTTAAGTGTAAAAATCTGTTAGCTGCAGCAACATGTATCCCCCAAACAAGAATCTCCATCATTTCTAGGATATTCTATGGAAATGATCAGAAATTGATTTTGTTCTCTCTGGAACCAAAGCTAAGTAGAGGTGGGAGCCTGTGAATTTAGAACCATTCTAGTGATAAATATTAAGAACACCTCTCTATCTTTATTAGAGGCACTAAATAATGGCATTTTCTTCTTTGCATAGATTTGTAGGCAGAGCTGGAAAACTCAGGCATGGATGTATACATACATAATAAATATTTGTTGAATTTAGAAAAGGGATAGGATAAGTTAGTTCTAACTACAAGAAAGTTGGTCATACCTGGAAAGTCTGGATCTGAAATTTCGTGTGTTCATTTGTCCAATTTTTTTTGATGTTTTGGTTTTTGTAGTGAACTGTCAGGTGTGCTGGATCTGCATTTGGCAGGCAGGCAATGTTTATGTGTAGATTTTTCTTAAGGAAGATTTTTTTTCTTTTTGAGACAAGGACTCTCACTGTATAGTTTAGTCTGGCCTTGAACTCACTTATGTAATGCAGGCTGGCCTTGAACTTGTGGCAGTCCTCCTGCCTCAGCCTCCTGAGTGCTGGGATTACACACATGCACCACCACACCCAGCATGGAATTTTTTTTAAGCTTTTTATGAAGGAAGGCAATCTGCTCTCAGCTCTGTTGCTGACTTTCCTTCAGTGGTTTCCAGGTAAAATCAAATGTACGGCTTGATAGACATTTTATTTCTGTATTTATCTTTTAGCAGTTTGAGGTGACCCACATAACATGAGACCTGTCTGTCTGATTTAAATAGAAGCCAGGTGCCTGAGTATTTATAAAATTTAAAGCACTTCCATAAACATTGTCTGTGCTTTGGTTTTTTTTTTCTCCCTCAGATAGATAAAAGCCCAGAAGGACAGTTCACTCAACTCATGACACTGCCCAAAACCTTACAGCAACAAATAAATCGCATCATGGACCCCCCCGGGAAGAACAGGGACGTGGAGGAGACGCTGCTGCAGGTCGCCCACGACCCGGACTGCGGTGACGTCGTGCGCCTAGGTATGGCTGGGGACGCCCTGAAGGAGGCGGAAGCAGCCTCAGGATGCCACTGAGACCACTGTTTATTCTTTCTTAGGTAGCAAGGTCAAGAGGGAAACTGCCTCTGGGATGAAGCAAAACACTAACAGTTTGGGGCTTTCCAGATCGTACTTTTCACTTGTTCAAAGTAAAATGGTCAGTGGGCGTGATGGTACATATGTCTGATCCCAGCACTCAGGAGGCTGAGGCAGGAGGGTCACTGTGAGTTCAGGTCCAGCCTGGGCTACATAGTGAGACCCTGCCTCAAAAAACAAACGAACAAACAGCCTTTAAAGTCAGATGATGGCAGTAATTCTTTTTTTCAGGTTCCGGGTTCTAAATCACCATCAGAGGGAGAAGCAGGGCTTCCTTTGGTTCCGGGAGTATAACTTCTAGGACTGCCCTTGAAGCTGTGTCTGCTCGCCGGGGCAGTCCCAGCTGGAAGGAGACGGCGTTGTCAACGCCGTGTGACCTCAGGGAGCACAGCGTCACCAGCCAGCTCCCACTGGAGCATCCCAGACCCTGGTCACCGGGTTCCTGAGCCGCGGCCCCTCCCCAGCAGTGTCCCCGGGGACTCCTTCACCTTCACCCAAACCCAGGCCTCGGCTGCAGGGCCCCACTTCCCCAAGAGGTGACACAGCCCCTCACGAGGTCTGTCAGTAAAGAAGTCGTTGGGAAGTTGGGAATGGTCACCCTCCTGTTGGCATCCAGTGACCACCTACGAGCTGCCTAGGCTGCCAGCTCTCTGCCTGTAGTGACCAGCAGCCTCTAGCCACACTGCTCTGTCTGAGCACGTGCCTGGGCCGCTGGAGGCCTGCTCTGAAGAAGGGGGCACTTCACGTGCCGTGTGTGTCCAGACATGACCCTGGCAACCTATGGTCACTGCTGGGTTTGTTTGTTAGTTTGTTTGTTTGTTTGTTTTGAGGCAAGGTCTTGCTATGTAGTTGAGGCTGGTCTCAAATTCAAGTGATCCTCCTGCCTCAGCCTCCCAAGGGCTGCGATGACAAGTATGTACCACCATGCCCAGCCCCTGCTGTTTTAAGGGGCTTTTTTTTTTGGTCTTTTTGAGACAGGGTCTCACTATGCAGTTCAGGCTGGTCTTGAGCTCACTTTGTAGCCCAGGCTGGCTGAGGCCATGGCAGTCCTCCTGTCTCAGCCTCCCTAGTGCCTGGGATTACAGGTGTGCACCACCACACCCAGCTCGAGGGGCCTCTTAAAGGGGCTGTTCTGTTGCTCCCCACTGACATGTCCTCTCCATGTGTTTTCAGAGTGAATGTCTTTCTCTTAGATCAGAACATTTGGTTTTTCTTTTCTCATATAGGGATTGAGCAGCAGGAGCAGATTTAAATTACTAAAATGACCTGTGCAGGTCACCGACCCCCTGGGTGAGGGCCGTGGCCGGCCCCGAGCATGCCTGTCTTGTCCCTGTGCCCGTGCAGCAGTCCCCTGGTGTCGCGGCCTTGGCTGCTGCTCTCCGTGTGCCTCCGTGGCCGGGTCCAGAGCTCCTCCGCCACCAGCCCCACTGGGTGACTGGAGAGAATCTCGTTCGGGGTCTTAGTTCCCCTGGCTGCCGTCAGCTTCTCATGGTCCCTTTTGGTTCTCCCCACAGGGCTGTCGGCGATCGTGCGACCTTCTAGTATAAGACAGAGCGCCAAGGGCGTCTTCACTGCCGGTAAGAGCCAGAGCGTGCACGGCCGGTGCTGTCCGTGGCCGTACAGCGGGGTATTGCGGTGATGTGCAGGCAGCTGTCGTGACAGTGTCATCAGGGAGCCTGGCATTCGAGGTCGTGGGGGCATCCGGAGAACTCCTGCGTCCCCTTGTATTTTGATTTTAACAGCATCACATATCACATGTGCACAGCAGTGAAAGACGGCGGAACACTGTCCCTCTCTCTTTCACACACACACGCACATGCACCGGGTTAGCTGCGTGCAGCGCTCATGCGTCACTTGTGGTTGCTGTGCCATTTCTCCAAACCCCTCTGTTTTCCAGCCCGGGCCCATCTGCCGGTGCGCGCTGTGGGATTAGAATCCACCCCCGTGCCTCCCTTGCCGCCTGCCCGCCGAGTCTGTCTTCCTGGCCTTAGAGCTTCGGCTCAGTCCGCATTCAGAGTTTCAACATCGTTCCGTGCCATGTTGTCTGCTTCTCCATCCCTGTAGTGGACACTGTCATCCCCTCTCCCCGGGGGACTCTGCTTCCTGTACCCTGTGTCTTTTACTTTCTGTGTTTTGCAGTGCTAGGGATTGAACCAGGGTCTGCACAGGCTGGGCAAACACGGTACCACTGAGCTACATCCCCAGCTCTCTTTATTATTTTATTTTAAGATAGGATCTTGCTAAGTTCCCAGGCTGGGCTCAAGCTGGAAGTCCTCCAGCCTCAGCATCCTCAGTGGCTGGGATTCCAGCTGTGTGGCACCATGCTGGGCTTCTGTCACTTGGTTGGTGCAAACGGTTACTTGGGGAAGCACATGACCCAGTATTCCCTGACACACTGCACACCTCACATGAAGACCTGTATGTCTGAAAATCTCCTTTTTCTGGTGTCACACAAAATTGATCATCGCACTGACAAACCATTTTCCCATGAATTCTGAAATCTTTGCTGCAATTATGCTGTTACTCAGCCCTGCTGTCACACTGCAAAGCCATTCTGAGTCTGAATCCTTTGTGTTTTCGTTCTACAGATTTGTTCATTCTTTGTTTCCCCCAGACCTCTGCCATCTCAGTGATGAACCTTGTCTGTTCTTATGTTTTACTGGGCAATCTCTGCCCTCTCATGTTTTTTTTCTCTTTTTTTGAGGTAGGGTCTCGCTATGTAGTCCAGACTGGACTTGAACTCACCATGTAGCCCAGGCTGGCCTCGAACTCAAGGAAATCTTCCTGCATCAGCTTCCTGAGTGCTGGGATTACAGGTGTGCACCACCATGTCCAGCTTGCTCTTTCAGTTTGGAAATTCAGCATATAAGAATACTGTATAAGAGAATTTTACTCTTTTTTTGTTTGATTTTGTTTTTTTCTTTTTTGAGATAGCATCTTACTTTGTAGCTCACGCTGGCCTCAAACTTGCAGGACTCCTGCCTCAGCCTCCCAAGTACTGGAATCACAGGCGTGTGCCACAATACCTGGCTTCCTTTATTGTTTCTTTAATCTCATCCCATCTATTTTCTTGCTGGAACTCCTTGGCTTTTCTTTCTGCTGTCTCCTATTTGTTATCTCTTTGGTGTTTTGCTGTTTTCTGGGAAGTTCTTCTCAACTTTAGTTTCCACATGTTTCTGTTGATTATTTTTAATTCCCTTCCACCAGCCCCGCCATACTGGGGATGGAACCCAGGCGTCATATATGCTAGGGCAATGCTCTGCCACCAAAGAACATCCCCAGCCCCTGGTGTCCTAGTTCTGATTCCAGCTCTTTTGTTCTCTCCTTCTTCTTTGTTTTTCCACCCTGCTCTTGCTCTGTGCCTGTAAGCGTGTGCGCACAGAGCCACACTGGCCGCACCGCGGCCCTGGCTATTCGCAGTTCCCTCAGTGTCTGAGAATTCTCCCCACACCCGCCGCACCCGGCTGACTGCCTGGCTCTTGGGCCCAGTCTTCCCCCTGGGGGCGCCTGCTGAGCACCTCCAGTGTACTGGCTCCTCGGATGCAGAAGGGAACCCCACACAGCCTGCCTTCTGCAGGCTCAGAATCCGGAAGGAGACGGGCGTGCTAGTAGAAGCTGGCAATAGGAAGAAAAGGCCCAGTTGTGGCCTGAAACGGCCCAGTCATTCAGGCCAAACCTGCGCCCTTGGGCTCGCAGTGGTCCGCAGCTGGTGCAGTAGCACCTTGGGCACCTCCTAGCACAGACACCTGGGCACTTGGCCCCCAAGGCACAGTGTCTGTCGCTCGTCCTCCTGGATCTTTGAAAAGACTCAGCAGAGATTGAGCCGCACTTAAGGCAAATCTGTGGCCTTGCAACTCTGTCCTCTTGCAGCTCTGTCCTCCACGCAGGTACACGCCTTCACTTCCGGTTCCCGAGATCCTTGCCTGTGCTCCCGCTGGCTCCCGGGCCTGCTGCAGCGGAGGGGCCTGCGGGCTGGGAATCCAGGCTGGCCTCTTGGCTCTTGAGCAGTTGCTACTTCCCGCCATGATCCTCCTGGGGTGAAGTGTTCTTGACGCTTGGCTTCCCATACTATGTAGAATTATTAGGATTATTGTTTTTAGTTATGATGATGGTGTTCGTGTGGGGATTTTCTTTGAAAAACTCTTTTCTTGCAAAGCTAGGAAATGATACGATAACTTTGACAGATAAAATGATATAATGCCTGGGATTTGCTTCTGAAAAAAACCTGGTGGAAAGAAGTGGGTGCAGCTTGGACACCACAAGATCTTCTGTGAGCTCATGGGCTGTTGAAGCTGGCCGTGTGTTCGGAGGGAATGCGTTACACGATTCTATCTTTTTGAAAAGCTTGGCTTTTTCTCTACTGAAAGGCTCGAAAGCTCTATCCTCATCATCATCCAGCTCGCTCAACACCTCCAAGCTGAAATGAGCTCTGTCATCCTCCCACGGGATCTACCCGTCACCAGCAGAGGGCAGTGGGCCGCAGCGCCTGCAGCCCAGACCAGCCCACACGGAACTGCGCCCCACGAGACCTGCGGGGTGAAAGCGAGCCCCGCCCTGCGGTTGCGGGCACCCTGGCTGTTCTGTTTCGGTGGTCGTGGGCTGGGGTGCAGGCTGCCAAGCATCGTGCCAGGGCAGAGACGAGCGCCCACACCAGATCTTAACCGCTGGGAGCTGCCGGGCAGGTTCCCTCGCTTTCCCGAGTTCTAATTTCATAGGAGTAATTACCCTGCCCCTCCAGTGCGAGAATTACACCTTAAGACATCCAGAAGCACCTGGCTTGGTGACGGCACTCTCCTTCGGCTTCGGAGGTTTCCCAGCCTCTTTCACAACCTGCTGCTGGTGCCTTCACCCGTCTCCAGCTAGAGTAAGGGAGCCCAGCTGGTGCTGAGTGGCGTTCACCTGTGAGTGCCCGCTGCCCTCCTCCCCCATCTCTGGCCACGGCCTGGTTCTGCCTCCCCTGCACCGGGCCCTTCTCCCCCAGTCTTGAGTTCCTCAGGTGTTTAGCCAGCTTGTCTGTCCCAGGTGAGAACTCCAGGGCACACTTGGTTTCATTTCGTTGTTTCTTGAGATAGGGTCTCCTTCTGCAGCCCAGGCTGGCTTGGGACTGTGTGGCCCAGGCTGGCCTCTAACTCATGACAACCCCCTGCCTCAGCCTCCTGATGCTGGGATGACAGGCACGCACCACCACACCTGGCTTGGTTTTATTTTGTTCCCCTGTGGCTATCACCCTCCTCCCAGCACAACTTCCTACACACAGCAGGTGGGAAGGAAGAGTCTGTCTTCCCCTCGGCCTCGAGCGTGTGCCACCCAGGGCCTGCATGTGTGTTCTGAACATGGACAAGCCTCACTCTAAATCTCACTCTGCTCGCAGCAAAGGTGGAAACCAGGCACCTGTCCGTTCTGCATCTTAGGCATGACCAGGCATTAACCAGGCGCCTGTCCCAGATTCTGCATCCTGGTAAACGAAGATGCTCAGGGAGTCCTCATACAGCCTGACTCTGCCTTTATCAGTCCCTTGAAATTCCCTGGCCATTGGATGCACCTGCGTTCAAAGGAGACTGCAGAAGTGAGAGTGCAGAGATGTCCCCAGAGCCACACGCCCTGCTCTTCTACTTTACCCTGGGAGCTCTCTTAGGAAATAACATGGACATTTCTTAGGCCGAGCCATTAGGAGCATCTCGTGGGTCTCATGTGATAGCGGGTCGAGCGCCAAAGCCCACGCTTGGGGCAGCCAGAGCCACATCCTGACACCCACCTTGCCACTCTCCTGGTGGCAGCGGATGGCCTGCGTCACCTTTGAAGCCAGTCAGAAAAGGCCAGCCAAGCACACTGTCACTTCCTGAGCTTTTAAGAAGTTCCTTACCCGACTGAGGAGAGGCGTGTGCTGCTGGGGGCAGACACGCAGTGGGGCACGGGTGGCCAGGTGCAGAGGCACAGAGGGAGCGCGAAGAGACCACGAGGACCTGCCCCGCCTGCGCTGTGGCAGAGGGTCCCAGCCGGACTCAGGGAGGGGCCGGGCCTGACCCCCAGGGCCCTGGCGTGGGAATGGTGGGGGATGAGGAGTCCAGATTTTGAAATCTTTGTTTTTCCCTACCTCATTTTTTAGCCAGTCAGAATTAACTCTGAGGGCCGACACCTGTTTACTCTCTGACTTCAAAGGACTCGGCTGAATCACCCGGACAGGTCTCATCTTGTGCTGGAAAGGTTCTGGCCTGCCTCCACCGAGCCTCCCCGCCCTGACCTGAGGCCTGGTAGAATAGGTCCTCGTCATCCTCTGTTTCTGAGTTCTTTTGGCTAAAGTGCTCGTTTTCTCTACCTTCCTATTTAATAACAGGAAAGATTTTCCTGGTGATGTACTTATCACTAAGCCAGGAAGTTCTTAAAGTAAGCTGTAGCTCTGGCCCAGGGGAGCCCTTCTGTGTGAGATGTCCGGCGGTGCTGGAAACAGTGTAGCGTGTTCGGGGGCCCTCAGACCTTCTCTCTGAAGGCCGGGCGTCTTGGGAGAAGGGACTTCGCACCGCCCAGTCACAGCTGTGCCCCGCAGCGTGGGGACGGAGTGGGGACGGCGGTGGCGGCGGCGGCGGTGGTGGGGTGGTGAGGAGGCAGAGTCCACGGGGAATTTCTCTCTCCTCAGGCTGTCTTCACTCACAGGTGGCCAGTGTGGGCTCCAGGGAGTGTAGTTCCTAAGTGAGCACCCTTTTCTCCAGAAAGGAAGAGCAAGCTTAACGTGGGGCCTGAGGGCAGAGGCCCCCTGCGTCCGTGCCAGCGCCCCGCCACCCGCCGGCTGAGCGCCAGCCCGGCTTCTGCCCCGAGCCCGCCTGCCCGTCCTCCCGCTTCCTCTCAGTCCGTGCCCTCTGCGTCTCCCGCCGCTCACTGTGTCGGCAAGGGCCATAGCGGTGCCGGTGCCGGTGCTGGTGTGTCAAGAGCAGCTCCCCTGGCCCGGCTGTCCTCTGGGTCCCTGCGAGCACCCAGCCCGCCCCGCCTGCAGGCAGCGCTGTTTGTGTACGTGTCGCAGGTGTGCCTGCATTTCAGCGGGAGGCCCTGGGGTAGGAGTCCTGGGTGTGGCGCGAGTGACCCGGGAGGACCCTGCCGGACTAAGTGCTCAGTGGCCTTTGCATCTCGGGGCCTGAGGTGGCTGAGCGCTGGCCTCATCTTGAGGTTTTAATCTTAATTTCCTGATAACTGAGGAAACTGTTTTTCTCGTGTTTATTTGGACGTCCTCTTTGGAGAAGTGTCTGGTTTGCTTTTGGCTAATTTTTCTATCGCGTGGTTTATGTCTGTTTTTCCTCTCTCGGGAGGGAACCCCAGGCCCCGTGTACACTCACCCTGTGCCGAGCTCTGGCCCTGCTCCCCACAAGCACTTTGTCAGAAACATGGAAAGCAGAACCTTCCCTCTGCGGCTGCCGTGTCTTTCAGCTGTACCGTTGGTGAAGAAACGATGTTCATCTCACAGAATTCTGCTTTTACCCATTTTATTCTCCGTGGTTTCTAGTTTTTGTGTTCTGTTTAGAAAATGTTTGCCTATTTCAAACTCACCAAGTCAGGGACTGGGGATTTAGCTCAGCGGCACAGCGTCTGCCCGGCAAGCGCATGGTCCTGAGTTCAATTCTCGGTACCAGAAAAAAAAAATCAAATTCACCAAGTCAGAGTCCTCTGCCTTGGTTAAAGTTAGACCGGCAAGGCAGGAAAGACCCTCCTGCTCTGCTGCCTCTTAGCGCCTTGCAAAGCTGGGAGCTCTGTGAACTCTGCCGCACCCTGGCGCTCCCATGGACAGCAGCGTCCTGTGATCCAGGAGTCAGCTGGTGTCCCGGCCTGGCCGTGGGCCCCTTGTTAGAGAGCCCGGGATAGTTCACAGGTTAGGGAGCTGGCGCCAGGGAAGGGGAGGTGCGCTGTCGCAGGCGTGCGGGTGGGCGGGGCCTGGGCCCGGGTCTGGATGCCCACTCCAGCGCCCCTCCCCGCAGAGCGCCTCACCCCTCGGGGACCTGGGGAGCCGTTTGCGTCAAGGAGTGGGCTCCGTGGGGATGCTGGCCTGACTGTGGATTGACCTTGACGGACGGCCCTCCCCGGAGCCTGGGACCCGGTGTCACCGTGGGCTAGCGTCTGGCTGGGTTGAACCCCGCACTGCAGCACTAAGTTGTGGTTGGGCTCCTGGTTAGTTCCAGGTGTGATTCTAAAAGTACTTCGTGCCTGCGCGTGGTGGTGCACGCCTCCCAGCACTTGGGGCTGAGGCAGGAGGGTCACCATGAGTTCGAGTCGAGGCTGGGCTACAGAGTGAGTTCAAGGTCAGCCTGAGCTGCATAGCGAGACCTTTCTCAAAAAAATAAATAAATAGCACCTCACGTGTCAGTTCCAGCCTCGGCGTTCACAGGGTGGCTCCAGGGAGGAGATGAGGCTGCTTCCGGTGACAGGGCCACCGTCCAGGAGATCTCTGCAGTGGGCCTGTCTGTGTTGGCGTGCTCCTTCCAGCTCCAGCACAGAGCCCTGTGTGCGGCTCGGGGCCTCAGACGTCGGGCTGCTTGGCCACGCGCTGACACACTGAGCGTGCTGTCCTCCTCACTGCCGAGAGCAGGGTACATCGCACCGCCTCGTCTCCCACCCGTTCCACAGCTTTCCTGAGCCCCCGAGCCCCTCCCCCGGCTCCGCCCCTGCTTGTGCCAGGGCATCCGCTCTGCTGCTGGGCGCTGCTGGGCGCCGGCCTAGGTGACAGGGGTCCAGAGGAGCAGGGCTGTGTTCCTTCCTCAGGGACTTGCAGTCCAGGCCACAGGGCAGGTGAGGTGGCGGGCGCCGGGCTGGGCCTCCAGGTAGCCCGTCCTGACGGCTGGCCGGCGGCCGAGCAGGAGGCGGGGAGCAGTATTCGTGGTGGCACGGTGGCAAGGGCGGTGAGACCAGTGGCCAGGACACAGGCGCCCATCACAGCGGGGCTGTCCCGTCTCTGTCCTTGTATGAGCACGACAAGGCTGCCAGTGGGCTTGTGACTCGGAGACACGCTTATCCCAGGGACTCAGGCACCCTTGGCAGGCACGTCACTTTCCCGCACATCCTGTCAGAGCCTGTCCCCACGCCCGTCTCAGTGACCCCAGCCAGCCCATCACTGCACCCCGAAGACAGGTCTCTGATGGAAATGTCACTGCCTCAGCTGCATGCCCACCCCGCACCCACCAAGCCCTCACCTCTTTTCTTTTCTCTTTTAGGCCTCAAGAGATCAGTGATTTATAGCTCACAAAAACTTCGCAAAATGTGGACAGGGTGGCTGAGGAAGACCTGATCTGGCTCACATATATGTATCATGGATAGACGAATAAAGGGTTGGCTCTTTTTTGACAGAGAAGTGTTTGTTACTTTGACCCGTAGCTTGAATTTGAAGAGACCGTGGTCTGTATAATACTTGATTTTTATTTTATTTTTGTTTGTTTTTTGATCTTTTTTGAGACCTATGTAGTTCGAGCTGGCCTTGAACTTGCTGTGTAGCCTAGGCTGACCTTGAGTTCACAGCGATCCTCCTGCCTCAGCCCCCTGAGTGCCGGGATTACAGGGGTGCACCCCCATGTGGAGCTGATTGTTCTTCTTTACTGCCGTGCATATCAGACACTTCCCCAGTGTGTAAGAGGGCATCGCACGGAAGGAAGGAATCCTGGACGTCCGGAGCTGAAGGGCTCCCACCTCTGCAGGCCCTGAGGCCCTGCCTGTTGCCAGTGAGGGTCACAAGTGATTCTCTGGAGCTTGCCTTGTGTTTCTCCTGGTTCTCCATGAGGGTGTGTGGCAGAGTGACCGTGGTGCTGAGCCCTGCCTCCCACAACAGCCGGGTGTGTCTGGGCAGGGAGCCTTCCTGCCTCGGCAGCGTGGGCACCACTGGAAGGCTGCTGCTCAGAGTCCGGAGACCCCCGGCAACAGCTTCTGGGGCACATATGGGAGGCACAGGGAAGAATCTTTGCAGAAGCTCTTAGAAAAGCCAGCCTTGTCCACCTGCATCGGCTCCGACTGGGGCACCCATCCCTGCGCCAGGAAACGGCCCGAGTGTGGCGCCGGGCTGCTCAGCTCCGGGCTGCAGGCTACGGAGGAAGCCTGGTGGAAACCCAGGCGGGGTTAGGAGCACCCACGGCCAACCTCATGCGCTGCGTCCGTCTGTGCAGTCAAACCTCAGGTTCTCTTCTTCGCCCAGCCGTGTCTCCGTAGCTTGGTGCTGCAGTGCAGGCCCTTAGGGTCCCTGTGTGCCACGTCTCTCCACGCACTTAAGTGCTCTTCCGCCATCCCAGAGCCGCTCTCTTACATCAGCAGTAAATCTGCCGCTGCACAGATGGGCTGGAAAGGCAGTGTGTGGCTGCAGCAGCAAAACCGGCACTCCCTGGCAGACCGGGCACCTTGCACGGCGTGTGCAGGCATTCCCCATGCTGAGATACCAGGCCTTTCCCAAGCACCCTTGGCCCGTGTCTAAACAACTCCCGTTACTGTCAGGTGTCGGAGAATTTAGCTTCAGCAGCCAAACCGCTGACCTGTGTCGGCGGGAGTGCGCAGACACGCCCCAGGCAGCGAGAGGTCCCGGGGTGAGGGGATATGCGAGCACACTGGGGTGACCGCAGACCAGCCGAGCAGTAGTCTCTGGGAGTAGTTTTGCTGTCTGTGAAGTGGAGATAACATGACAAAATCCCTGAGGTGATGGTGGTCTGCCCCGCGGAAGCTGGCCGTGTGGCACATTGTATTCATGCAGTGGTTGTCATTCTTTCGTGTGACCGTTTTCTACTATTTTCTTCCTCAAACAGTTAAATTGATTCCCTGTGGCTAACAGGACCAAGTAGGGCTCTCAGCACCCGATCAAGACCCTTACACGCGAGCTTTCCTTGCCTTGTGTTACTTTCTCTGTCCCCTGTAGCCGATTCAGCTTTTGTAGCCCAGAGTAGACGCTTTGCCGAGCAGCCCCTTGGGCTCCAGTTGGAGCCTCTGGGGGGTGGTGCCTGCCTGGGCCCCTGACTCGGCCTAGAGTGTAGCTGGGACAGGTGCACAGGAAAGGCGAGTCTGCCCCTGAGCAAGTGGAACTCGGACGGGGTCCAGGAGACCCAAGGAACATACTTGAGTCTGATCCCAGCCCGGCGTCGTCCCCAAACAAGTCCTGGGTGACTTGTTTACCCCTTCAGAGCCCTGGTTTCTGTGCCCATGATGGCGGCATAGCCACGCCGTCTGCAGAGTTGGAGCCAAATGTGACGACGTACACCAAGCACCTGGCGTGGCCGTCAGCCCTAGCACGTCTGCATCTGCATCTCTGCTCTTAGCGGTGAGCTCAGCTGGCTGCAGGTGATCTCACGCACCAGAGCCTTGTCGGGAACTAGAGACCAGCCTGGGTACATCAAAGAGCAGGAGCTCGGTGTAAGAATTGCTTGCCGAGCTGCCGGAAGGCTGCTGGACGGAGAGGCGGCCGCCTGGAGGGGACGGGCAGGCCCGCGCCTGCGCCGAGCAGCTGCACACGCTCCCCGTGCTGGTTGCCGTGGGCCTGCCTCCGCTCAGTGGGTGGGTCACAGTTCTCCTTCCGTGACGCGGCTGGCGTGCTGACTTGCTTCTGACCGAGGAAAGGAGTGGGGAAGACGCCGTGTGACTCTACAGCAGCAAGACGGCCCCGCGTCACCCGGCTCTGGGGTGCCTGCTCTTGGAACCTGGCTGCCATGTTGAGTGAGCCAAAGGGGACGAGTGTCAGCGCAGCCAGGGTCACCTGCCAGGGAAGGGCTGAGCACCCTCGGGATCACTCCGAGTGGCTGGCTGGAGAGACATCCCCAGGGAACCCTGGCTGGGCCCTCACGGCACCGGAGCCCGAGGGAGAAGGCAGTGAACATTGCCTGAAGTCCGGAAGTCTAGGGGAGGTGCATACGCAACATGCTGGCACCTTCCCTGCCCTGGCCAGAGGTGCCACGGAGGCACCGCCTCCGCCCACTCACCACTTGGCAGCACCAGCTGCTCCCCTCACCATGACGCGAATGAACTGCACACAGAAGACGATATCCGCTGCCGCAGCAGAGCGGGCGCGAGTGAGGTCTTCTGTCACGTCCCCCACGTGTGGTACCGCTAAGTCCTCTATGACGATCTCAGCGGACTGTCGCATAACCTAGAAACCAACCCACAGTCAGTGGCCACCCAGCTCCTTGCAGAAAGTGTGGGAAGGAAGGGGCTTCGGACATCCAGCCTGTGCAAGCAAGGCAGGAGGCAAGTTCACCCTCTTTGGTTTTTGTTTAGTTTCCGGAAACAAGGTCTCACTATATAGTTCAGGCTGGCCGTGAATTCACAGCCATCCTCTTGCCTCAGTCTCCCAAGCATTGGGATTGCAGCCGTGCACCACCATGTGCAGCTCTGCTCTCCTCATTTCTAAAACTGGTCGTGGCAGATGACTAATATCTAGAATATATAAAAACTCAGAAAATTAGGCCCTCAAAATGTAAGCCCAGGGCCAGTGATATAGCGCAGTGGCACAAGCGCCTGCCTGGCAAGTGCAAGGTCCTGAGTTTGAATCCCAGTACCCCCCAAAAAAATGTAAACCCAAAATACGGGCAACTGAAATGATGGATATACAGATGGCTGATAAATACATGAAAGACTTCAGCATCTCTGGCCATTAGAGAAATGCAAGTGAAAACAACACCGAGATTCTACCTTAGTCCCGAAAGAATAGCCACCATCAAGAAATCAAATAATAACAAGTGCTGGTGAGACTTCCAGGGGAAAGGAATCCTTCTACACGGTTGGGAATGTAAACTAGCACAACCACTATGGAGATCAATATGAACATTCCTCAAAAAAATGAAACTAGAAACTTCTTTTGACCCAGGTATTCATTCCCCGCCAGGTATCTTCCCAAAAGAGGTAGACATTATATTACAGTGATCCACGCAAGCCATGTGTATAGCAGCAGAACTCACAAAGGCTAAATCTTGGAAGCAGCCCTTATGCCCATCAGCAGATGAATGGATAAAGAAAATGTATTTATACGCAGTGGAGTACTACTCTGCCATAAAGAAGGACAAACTTGAGTTGTCTGTAGGAAAATGGATGCACTTTGAGACCATGATGTTAGCTGAAATAAATCACACACACAAGCTTCCATATCACATGGTTGTTCTTATGCAAAAAACCCAAAATATAAATGAAGAACAAAATAAAAGATAACAGGAAATAGGAAGGCAGGTCTTTTGCAAATGGGAAGGTCGCCAAGGGAGGCAGGAGGGAACAGATGAAATAAAGATGTGTTGTGTATGGACCCACTCCCCGTGATGAATGTGATCATGACTGCAAACATATACTAATAAAAAATACAAATTTCTTATTAGCATGGGGACGCTAATCCCAGCACTCAGGAGGCTGAGGCGGGAGGATCACTGTGAGTTTAAAGCAAGCCTGAACCACATAATGAGACATTGTCTCAAAACAAAGAAAAAATTGAAAAAAGAGTAGATGCTTGTAGCTTGTTTCTTCTATTCCCCTTTCTCTGGCCCTGTTGTCCTCTGCACACCCTTCTTCACACCCATTGGAGTGGCCCCAGGCCCTGTCACTGAAGAGCTGTCTTTAGTACTGCCCCCTCCTCAGTACTGCTTCCTGCTGGACATGCCTCCACATTCACAGGGGAGGAGTCCGAGTTTGATTCAGAACAGCATTTCTGAGTGAGATGTGGTGGCACGCGCCTGTAATCTTTGCACTTGGTAGGCTGAGGCAGGAAGATCACTGGGAGTTCGAGGCCAGCCTGGGCTACACAGTGAGTTCAAGGCCAGTCTGAACCGCACAGCAAGACCCTGTCTTAAAACAGAATTTCTCCTATGAACTCACTTATCCTAACCCTGTGAGGCAGGGACTAGTAGCGCTCTAAATTGACTAGTGAGGAATGAACTTCAGAGGTGGAGTGAGTCACCCCGCGTCCCACGGACAGCCAAGTGGTGAAACCAAGGTCAAACTCATGCCTCCAAATGGTGTTTCTATCTCAGTGCTCCTGACTACTATGCTGCATACCATAGTTGAGCACACAGTAGGTGCTCAGGAAATGGGAGCTGTTCTTGCTGGAGCTATTCCCTCTCCTAGAATGATCCATCTTTTATTCCCTGTCCTGTACAAACCATCTGTTAGCCAGTGGTGGTGCATACCTGCACCTGGGAAGCCGAGGCAGGAGAATTGCAAATTTGAGGCCAGCCTGGGAACTTAGGAAGACCCTGTCTCAAAAATAAAAAAGTGGTACAGCACTTGCCTCGCACGTGCGAAACCTTGAGTTCAGTCCCTAGCATCACAAAAAGAAAGTGCTTTGTACAGCTGCCTAGGAGTTGCGGAGGGTCTCCATGGCCAGGTCCTAGGTTGCAGTGCT